AGGTATCGTCAATATTCATCATTAAAATTACAAAATATATTTTATATTTATACCAAAACCAGCAACTCAAACAATCGTGGTCGTGGTCGTCGTATCAGTCGTATCATATTGTCATTTTAATAGTTTATAAATAAACACATTAACATTACTTATATTATGGCGCGTCGTCACTCGTCAACCGTCGTCGTTTTCAGCTATCAGCCAGTTGTTCTTCCGACAATTCGACAAACAACGACCCATAGAGGCATAGTCGCATAGACGCGATAAAAATAGATGTTATGGAAAAATTGATAGTACCATTGATCATAATATTATAATTATAATATTATACAAAAACGTCAAAAACCTACCATCCTATTTTAACATAGGTACCAGAGGTACCTACTTATCAAATATTAGTATACATACAACTACATTAATGTTTAAACTTAAAAAAAAAAAATTATTGTGAGTAATTAATTTTGCGTTTTTAGACAATTTATGTGTTTGCTCCGGGTTGGGCCCGGGGCCCCCCAAATGTATGTAAGCCTCGGGGCCCGTGTGCGCGGCACGCTCTGCACACCCGGTTTTTGCGGCACTGGTATAGTATTAGTATTTCATTTTGTAGTATAAAAGCTTGATGGTCGATCATCAAGTTTATTAATGTTATAAGCGTATAAGATGGGAGAAAAAACAAAAGTACTTTGTGTACAGTGTAAATTAAATATTATTAATTTCGTATTTCTTTGTACAACTACTACAGCTTGTTCATAACATCATTATTTATTATTTAATATGCATACACTGCAATTGCGGTATCACCTACCTTATTAACAGTGTACACGTTTTCACGTCTTGAACATGGTAAACGAAGTCCCTAACCTTCAAAAGAAATTTWAAAAAATGTAATCTGTACGACAGTACCATGGTAGACAACCGTGAATTGTACCCAACAGTAATATGACTATACTGCAACTATAGTCTATTCTTATTAACATCGGCTAGCAGAGTTCATATCACAAGGTTGTTATCATCAAAACCAACATTAAACCACAGATATATAAAACAACTAGATAGTCGACTCCTTATCAAAGAACAAACAAGAAACGACACTCTGCCGTGTGATAACATAGTGGAGGCTCGGCCTTGAAGTTATGATCGAATTACTGGAGGCTCCGCCTTGAAGTTGGTACCGATTTTTGTTTACAATAAACACAGATATAGATAATAAACTAGATTGCTAACAGTATAAATTGACAAGCTAGCCGACGGACGCCGATTTTCCGCCATGTTGGTTGTGGGCTGTGGTATTTTATCAATTTTTATTATTGAAGTGATAATATAATACACAATACACATACACATAAATATTATTAATTATTATGGTTCATGAATTCGTAAATATTTTCTTAGAACTTAGAAGTATTTTAAATAATAATAGTATCTTTTATTAGTCATCAAGAAAACTTTCAACTTATTACCTGAGTATCTCAAAAAGTCAAAAATATTTAAAGAACTAATCTTACTGCTACAAACAATGAAACAACATAATACATAAGTAATATTAATCTAATAATAATATTTCAGTTGTAAAAAAAAAATAGGATTATAAGTTATTAAACAAAATTGTCTTATGCAACTTTTGTCTTTTGTTGACAGAAGATTTCATAATTGAAGAACTTAAAATTTTACTGTAAGAATGTATACGAATATTTAAATAAATACGGCTTACTAGGTTAATAATATTGATTTTGTGAGGACGTGAATGCATTTCAGTGTCTTCAAAAGTGTCTTCAGTGTCTTTTATCGCAGCTATCCACTTTTCTTTTAGTACATTATTATTTGGAAATCTACAAAAGTTATTTAGTAAAATTGTTTGTATTATGTATAGATAACCATGTTGAAAACCACTTCCACAAAATAKATTAAATCTATTCTGTGCTACTGCCTACTACTAATACATACTTAAAAAAAACCACTTTGTCACGACCAGAACGATTAGCACATCCAAGCACACAACAAGTTTGTGGCATTTTAAATTAAAATTGTACTTTGTTCAATAAAACGACTAGAGTAAAAATAAGTAACTTCTACTTTTTTATTTGTAAGCGAAAGTAAAGTCAAGATACAATGTTCATTTGTTAGTTTTTATAAACATTAAATGGTGATGGACATTGTTTATTTTTAGATCATATTTTTGTTTTGTACATATCACTATC